AGGAAGTGCAGCCAGAATGCTCCTTGGAAGCAAGAATGGCTAGACTTCATCTCACCTATTTTGGTCATGTTGTCAGAAGGGACCATTCCGTGGAGAAGGATGTCATGCTTGGTAGGGTGGAGGGTCGACGAAAGAGGGGGAGGCCTTCAACAAGATGGATTGATACGGTGGTTGCGATGATGGGCTCAAGTATAGCAGGGATTGTGGGGCTGGCGCAGGATCAGGCAGTGTTTCATTCAGCTGTGCATGGGGTCACTATGAGTCAGAAACGACTCGACGGCACTTAACAACAACAACAACAACAGCCAGAGAATAAAGAAATCTGTCCTGGAATAAGTGAAGTCAAATGTTCCTTGGAAGTGAGAATGACCCGACTTCATCTTACCTAATTTGGCTTTGTTGTCAAAAGAGACCATTCCCTGGGGAAAGATATTATGTTTTATAAAGTTGAAGGCTATGAAAAAAAAGGAGACCTTCAACAAAATGAATTGGCACAGTGTCTGCCATGATGGGTTCAAGCATAGCAAGGATTGTGAGGATGGCACAGGACTACACAGTGTTTCACTCTGTTGTACATAGAATCACTATGAGTCTGAGCTAATTCGATGGCACACAACAAAAACATTTACATATCCAACTAGAGTTCAAATCCTTAAGGGATAGCAGCCATATATTTTTTAGATTTCAATCTTATTTACCTATAATTTTGGATTATAATATAGCATAAAATGTGTTTGTGGAATAAATGATTGCATATTTGATATCCTTCCTCTCCTTTTTTGTCCAATAAATCACATATTTAAAAGTGCAGCTCAATTGTCAGCTCATGCAGGGAAACTTCTCTAAATCCTCCTTTCTCTCTGGGTCAATCCTTATCTCACATTAGCTTATGGAAGCCTGGATTCTGGTAGCATGGTAGCTAAGGCACTTGACTGCTAACCAGAAGGCTGGTGGTTGAAAGCCACCAGCCACTCCTCGGAAGGAAGGTTGGGCAATCTACTTCCATAGTGATACTGTCTCCAAAACACAAGGAGGGGTCACTATGAGTCGAGTCTGACTCAATGGCAAATAACAACAATAGCATCAACAAATCTGTCTTTCAATATTAATAGTTTCAAATTATATCTACCCACTAGATCTCTTTAGAGCTGCCACATGGAACAAAGCAGCCCTTGATAAATGTGTACACATATATTAAGTATATTGAGTAAGTATATTCAATAATGGTCATGTTGAACTGAACACATTTTCTAAGGTATTTGGCACACTGTCACCAGAGAGTAGGAACTAAAAAAAAAAACAGGTGGGGGGATGACATCGACTAATATTTAACTATTAATTTGGAATTAATTTCAAATTTACAAGAAATAATTTTGAATAACAATAGTGCAAAGGATACTCACACACTCCCCTTATCTAGACTCGTTTATTGTTAATATTTTCTTCCTTTTCCTCCTTTCTCCAATTAGGGGTACATTTAACTTTTAATTCTAAATTATGCATCTCCTAAGAATATGAATGTTCTCCTACAGAATAATAGAGAAATTCAAGCAAACAATTACCTTTAAAGAAAGTGGGGGGAGGGATGAAAATGAGATGACACACTGTGATATGAGCATCTGAGGAATAATGTTGGCATGGGATCCTAAAATTCTGATATGTTGAGAGAAGAAAATTAAGATGTTATTGTGAAAATTTCCTACTTTATATTTTCTTAAAAGACAGATCCCACCTTCAACATTTTCTTCAGAGCTCCTGTGACATCTTTATTCCTAAGACTATAGATTAAAGGGTTTAGTACAGGAGTAAGGATAGTGTAAAAGAAAGGTACTACCATGTCCTCCTCTGGGGTGTGGTAGGAGCTGGGAATCATGTATGTGTAGATGGCAGCGCCATAGAAGAGGGTGACCACAGTCATGTGAGAAGAACAAGTGGTGAAGGCCTTCTTTCGGCCCTCTGTTGATTTCATCCTGTAAATGGTGAGGAGGATTGAAGAGTAGGAGCTTGAAATGACTGTCACAGGGATGAGGAGCATGAGCAAACAGCACAGGTACATGAGTGTCTCAAAAAGTGAGGTGTCAGAACAGGAGAGCTTCATTATGGCAGGAACCTCACAGAAAAAGTGATGGACCTCCCTGGATCTGCAGAAGGGGAAGGTCATGGTGATGGGAGTGAGCATGAAACCATCCACTGAACCCAAGAACCAACAGCCAGATGCCAGGAGGAGACATATCCTATGGTTCATAAGGACAGGGTAACGGAGTGGATGGCAGATGGCCATGTACCGGTCATAGGCCATGGCAGCTAGAAGGAAACATTCTGATCCTCCTAGTGTCAAGTAGAGGAACATCTGTATCCCACATTCAGGGACTGAGATCTTTTTAAAACCTATGATCTGGTCCAGGAGCATCTTGGGCACAGTGACGGAAATGTACATCATGTCCATGAAAGACAACTGGCTGATGAAAAAGTACATGGGAGTGTGGAGGTGGGCATTAGAGTGTATCAGGAGAATCAAGATGATGTTACCAAACAGGGCCATCAGGAAAATCACAAAAATGACCACACAGAGCAGAGCTGGGTGTGTGGATTGACTGAAGAATCCCAACAGGATGAAATCAGACCCTCCTCCAGTGTGGTTGGCCAGCCAAGTGGTGTTGTCCATGATGTTTCACCTAGGACATCAAGGAGGGCTTTTAGGTTACACAGATTACTCAAGAAGATGTGACCCTTTGAAATGTATGCTTGGTACATCTGTGTGTGTGCATGCACACATACATACACACACACATATACACGAAACTTGCCCATACATGTCAACCCAATCTTTCTCAAAAAGGGAAATTCTATGTATTGTAGAGCTTCTGTGTGGATTTGGTAAATTATAAAATTTACCAGGAAAAAAAAAGTGAATTCACAACTAAGTCGAAAGGTTTGCTAACTTTTACTGAAGTTACCACAGTTCAGAGTGATGAAGTTTCCTGATGAAAGTGTCCTCTATCAACATCCCATGCAACACAGCAAGTGAAAAAGAGAAATTAAGGAAAAAAGAGAGAGAAAGAAAGAAAATTCCTTATTTCTAAAATGTTTCTTTTAGAAGTAGGCATTGAATTAACCTCTGTGGTTTAAGGAATCAATAGAGATCTTAAAAATCTCATGGCAGGGCTGACCCCTTAGAAAATCCAAGGGCCAGAGGGTGAGGGACATAGAGTCTTCAGACCACGGCCTTGGATCCAGTTTCCCCTCTACCTGCACTGTAAGTTACTAAACCCACCATTCCTCTGTTCACTCTAAAGAGAGTATAAAAACAAAGTTTGACCCTAATGTGAAGTGAGCATTAGATTAGGAAAAATAATGACAATACTTAGAACATTACCTGGCACACATGAATAGACACAGACGCACAAACTGTTATCTCACAGCCTTGATATCTATGTAAGAGTAGGCTCTCATGATTGTTGTCTAATGATCTGAGATAGATTATTTCAGTTCTCCAATTTCAGTATCATACTCTTATTTTTAAAAATTTGGATCTGATCATTTCTTTAGTCCACACAATTTGTTCACTTACTGTGTTATTGTTGTTTAAAAATAAACTCTGTTGAAGTGGAGTTTTATGAAGAATTTTATCTAATATATGTAAACTATATGCTTCCCCAAGGTGAAATTCATCACCATTATCTCCAATCATTTTTTCTAAATCTCAGAGAAAAGGGAAGAACAAGCATTTAGAAGGTTACTGACAGTTACCAGTTAAGCTTTAGTTGTTTTCACAAACATCATCAGTAGTATTGCTCCTCACACTCAAGTTCTCCTAGAAACTGAGATGTAGAGAGAGAGAAAATGAAAAACACAAAAGTGTCTCTGATTCCAATACACAGCTTTCCTCCTTTCCCAACACTCCATTCATTCACTCTTTCTCTATCTTGCTTCTTATAGCCTGTCTCTCTGTGTTAGACTCTGAACATAAATAAAGATAAATTAAATTTGATTACATTTAGGGTCCCTTGGTGGCACAGACCATCAGCATTCAGCTAGCAATCCAAAGATTGCCTGTTCAAACCCACCCAGCTTTACCACAGAAAATCCTTATTTTCAAATGTTATTGAGGCCTGGCTAGTGGCTTCCTTAAAGATTATAGCCAACCTGACACCAGAGCCTATGCAGTCTCTTCAAGTGAATACACAAGCAAACAAGCATCTCAATAAACTTGATTACATTTAAGGAAGTCAAAATCTGTTACTAAGGGGCAACCAAGTGAAGAAAAGTTTGTGAAAACAGTGATTTAAAGTAGAATTGCAAACAATTACAAAATAAATAAGAAAAATCAATAGACTCAAAATACATCAGACCTTTCTGAAATGAAAAATAGCATCTTCCACATTTTCTCTTAAGGAAATTAAATTTTTGAAACTTTCCAGCTTCTGAAATATTAAATTTTAAATGCCTTTACCACAATAAAGAATCAGATTCTCTTGATGAGAATAATTTAGAAGCAGTTATGATGCAGAGATATATGAGGAGGAGTTTACAAAAGTTTCAAATATGAACTTGTAACAATTCCAAACACTGCTTATGATAGTCAACTTATTAAATGTCCTAAATTCTGGTGTGCTGAAGTGGTAGGCAATGCTGTAACCAAAATTAATGGGAACACGCAAAATCTGGGACACATTCCATAAGGAAAAGTATAATTTATCAAATACTACCACTACTGGTGGATGGAAGATGAGTTCTGTGTCAAAGTTAAAAACAGTCTTATAAGCTGCAAAACACACCTGCTGATCTATTCTCTGTTTGGAGTGCAAATGAAGCTAGGATTCTTGCAGAACCTGGAATTCATGAACACCTCAAGTTGTATGCTGAATTAATGGAGTGTTGGGATGGAGGGAGACCAGGAAGGTCCGGAAAGGGTGCTGGCAAATCTTTCCTGCAATTTGGTAAATGAAATCACTGGTATCAAGCCATTTTGAATGGTCCACCTAGAACACCAGGCAGATGAGGGGATGCTGTGTCTACATCTCTCACAGCAAATGTCTCCTTGTTCATTACTCTTACTTGTTCTTGCTCTGCTCAATCCAATGTTTGAGTTCATGCTTTAGTACATATTTAACTTCCAACTGCTGTTGAGTCAGATCTGACTCATAGTGACCCGTCCTTGGGTTTCCAAGGTGGAAGGCAGTATCACTACAGAAGTAGATTGCCAACCTTCCTTCCGAGGAGTGGCTGGTGGGTTTGAACCTCCAGCCTTCTGGTTAGCAGTCAAGTGCCTTAGGCATTATGCCACCAGAGCTCCCTATATTTAACTTAGGCAACTATTAATAGTGGAGGTAGAGCAAAATAGAACTTATATTTTCAGTCCACTGAATCTCAGGAATTGTTCTATTGCCTTACTATCTAGTCTTTCCTTAGACTCTATAAACAGAATTATTTTCTACCCTTACACATTAGAAAATTCAGGTTCTCTGCCTATCTGCACATGATCACAGAAGTGGTCAGAAAGAGCACTCACAACTTAGGCCCCATGCAGGAGCCAGAACCTGTAACTCTACTTCATGCTTTCAGGGACCAAGTTCTACCACCTTTCAGTCATTGATTTGACTTTTAGACTACCCACTGTTAGTTTCTTCAGAGAAAAATAAATATGATCCAGACAAGTTTCTAGTGGTTCTATCAAGTAATGTCCATGGGAAGTAAAATCAGTTGTCACTTTTCCTCTGTAAAATTTCAGTCTCAGAAAAACAAAAACATCACTAAAATATACTGAAAGATAGATATTTTTCTGTCCATAAATAATTAGAAATTTTAAACCCATTTCCTTATATGTTGCTGTAAATACATGCTTTATAAAGAGATTCAAAGGAGAAAGCACAAAAATAGATGATAAAAAATAAGAAGTTATTGAGGAAATCTTAAGAACTCCTATGACATATCAAGGAGAACAAAATTTTAAGACATTTATTACCTTTTGCTCCTACAGGTCTGTCTGCATCTGGTTGAACCACCATCTGATGATGGGCTAGTCTCTTCTAGATGGGTAGGTGGATTATGGTCATGGTTAAATTTACAAAGACAAGTAGTGAAGTGACATCATCCCTGGTTTTTCTCTGCCCATTAGGGGAGTGGATGAAAGTTTTTGTTGATAAATCTCCTTTGAGACATTGAAGAAGAATACAATTAAGAGGATTAGAGAAGCTAATAAATATTTCCATTACACTTTTTAAACTTCCTTCTCATATCTTTTTATTTCCTTTTATTGTTAAACTCAATGTGCATTGAATTTTTATTATTATTATTTTTTACTGGAGGGTAATAAATGTGATAAGTTGCTAAGCTTGTGGTAATTTGTTGTACAGCAGTAGAAAACTAATAAGGAAGCCAATAGTAAGTGCATTAAAATCTTGATGATTATTAATAATAACTTAATTCTCACTATTATCAATAAAATCTTATCTTTGAACTATGAGTTAGTTTATATATAGCCTTTGTCACTTCACAAAATTTGTGTGTATATGTCATTTAATCTTAAGGAAATTTTGTGAGAAATGGCTGTTGTTCTCATCCTTCACAGTTCTAGAATCTGAAACTCAGAGTTCAACTGATGACTCCACAATCAGCACCAAGGTCACAACTAGGTCTGAGGTCATCTCCTTCACATCTCTGTATCTATCACTTTTCTTTAGTTTGTTGGTTGTACTCTTTCCATCTATGTCGTTTTGTTTTTGCATTTGATATTAATGTGCTAGCTTTTATTTTAAATGTGAATGTCTTAATTCCAAATATATATATATATATATATAACTTATATAAAAAAAATGAAATTAACCATAACATAATCATCCAGCCAAAAACACTATTTAAGCATCATGTGTTACTTTAAACTACAAATACTTACTGAGTGCATGCCATATGCCAGACATTTAGAGTATAAGAGGGAACAAAACTGAAACAATTCTTACTCTTTTACAGCCAAATTCTTCTGAACATTTTATCTATATGTGAATTTTGGAACAATTTGATCACGTGGCAAAACATTTTGGAACACATGGCTTTTCTTGATAGCTTTTCTCCAGAGGGTATCTTTGTTTGTCATGTCCACACTTACCTGAAATACCCTCCTCTGAACCTCCAAGTTTCCACTTATAGATGATACTTCCTGACTCCTCTGCCAACAATATAGTATCAGAAAATACTAATTTTTGCTAAGTTAATGTATAAATGTAATTAAAATCAAACAAAAATGCCAACAATTTCTTTCCCCTGAAGCAAAATAAATTGATTCTGATGTTCTCATGGAAAGTAAGAATACCCAGGAAAATATTTTAAAAGAAAAGCAATATTGGGGGATAGATGTGCAAGGTACTTAAATATACTTTAAGGTCTCTATAATAATAATGATAGAAAAGTATCACAGAATAGAAATTCCAGAAATAAACACAATTATGATTAGTATATGATAATGGTAACAGCTCAAATAAGTGGAGAAAAAAAATGGATTACTATTTAATTTTAAACTAATTGATGGGGTTGTAATTTAAAGGTAATGAAATACTCGGAAACTATTCCAAGTAAAAGAATATTAAAATAATAGTAAGTAGATGCAATGTGTTATCTGTAATTGGATACTTGATCATAGTAAAAACAATTAAAAATATCTTACAACTTAAAATGTTTAAGCAGTGAAAATATATTTCGAGAATAAAGCATATATTCCAGCAAACCAAAAATTAGAGAATTTAACATCAGAGACCCTCAGATAGAAGGTATAGAAATCAGAAGGGATATAAAACAAAGAAAGTGAAAAATATGTGGGAAAAGGTAAAATAATATTTATTATAAAAGCAGTAATACATTTATTAAGGGTTTTCTTTTTTGTTTTTTCAAAGGAGAGATACAAAAAATAGTTAACAGAATATAAGCTGGGAGTGGGGAAATAGAGTTTAAATATTTTAACTTCCTAACATTATCCAGTAGTAGGAGAAAAGTTTTATTTAGTTTGTTCTTATTAGGTGCTGTCAAGTAGGCTCCAACTCAAAGCAATCCTATGTATGACAAAACGCAAAGCTGCCCAGTCCTGTGTCATCTACACAATCCTTGCTACAATTGAGCCCGTTGTTGCAGTTACTGTGTCTGTTCATCTTGTTAAGGGCCTTCCCTTTTTGAGCTGACCCTCCACTATACCAAGTATGATATCTTTCTCCAGGGAACGGTTCCTCTGACAACATAATCGAAGTAGGTGAGACGAAGTCTCATCATTCTCAATTCCAAGAAGCATCATGGCTGTAGGCATTCCAGGACATATTTGTTCATTCTTCTGGCAATCCATTGTATGTACAGTATTCTTCACCAACACCACAAATCAAAAACATCAACTCTTCATTCTTTGTCCAGCTTTCACATGCATATGAAGCAATAGGAAAATACCATGGCTTGTGTTAGGTACATCTTAGACTTCAAAATGACATCTTTGATCTTCCACACTTTAAAGAGGACTTTTACAGCAGATTTTCCCAGTGTAATACAACATCTGATTTCTTGACTGCTGCTTGCATGGGTGTTGATTGTCGATCCAAGTAAAATGAAATCTTTGAAAACTTCAATCTTTTCTCCATTTATCGTAATACTGTTTATAGTTTGAGTTGTGAGGATTTTTCATTTCCTTTATGTTGAGGTGCAATCTACATTGCACTCTGTAGTCTTTACTCTTCATCAGTAAGTGCTTCAAGTCATCTTCACTTTCAGCAAGCAAGGTGGTATTGTCTGCATATCACAGGTTGTTAACAAGTCTTCCTCCACTCCTAATGGCACGTTCTTTTTCATATAGTCCAGCTTCTGGCATTATTTGCTCAGTACACAGACTGAATAAGTATGCTGAAAGGACACAACCCTACTGCATGAGCTTCCTGATTTTAAACCATGCAATACCCCTTGTTCTGTTTGAGTGACAGCCTCATAGTATTTGTACAGGTTTCTCATGAGCACTGTTAAGTGTTCCAGAATTCCCATTCCTGGCAATGTTATCCATAATTTGTTATGATCCACATAGTTGAATGCCTTTGCATAGTCAGTAAAACACAAGTTAACATCTTTCTGGTATTCTTTGTTTTCAGAAAAGATCCATCTGAAGTCAGCAATGATATCCCTCGTTCCACTTCCTCTTCTGAATCCAGCTTGCATTTCTGGAAGATTCCTGTCAGTATACTCTGTTTGAATTACTTTCAGCAAAATTTTACTTGCATGTGATATTAATGATATTGTTTGATGATTTCCACATTCTATGGGATCACTTTTCTTTGGAATGGGTACAAATATGGTTCTCTTCCAGTCACTTGGCCAGGTATCTGTCTTCCAATTACTTGGTATACACAAGTGAGTGCCTCCAGCATGGCATCCATTTGTTGTAACATCTCAGTGGGTATTGTGTCAATTCCTGGAGCCTTGTTTCTTGCTAATTCCTTCAGTGCAGCTTTGACTTCTTCCTTCAATCCTATTTGTTCTTAATCATATGCCACCTCCTCAAAATAGTTGAATATTGACCAATTCTTTTTCATAGTGTCTCTGTGTATTCCTTCCATCTTCTTTTGATATTTCCTGCATCAGTCAATATTTTTCCCAGAAAATCCTTCAATATTTCAACACAGAGCTTGATTTTTTTCTTCAGTTCTCTCAATTTGAGAAAAGCTGAGTGTGTTCTTCCCTTGTGGTTTTCTTTTTCTCTTTCTTTTTTTTTTTTTTTTCCTTTTCTTTTTATCGTGGTCTGGGTGAAGATTTACAGAGCAAATTCACTTTCCATATAGCAGTTCACATACACTTTGTCTCATGACATTGACCAGTTTACCACAATGCAACAGCTCCCCTCCCACTTCCTCCCCATCGTTACCTCTTCCCAGTGTCCATCCCTCCATGCACTCCTGCCCCCTGAGCTATCTCCCTGTACATAAGCAGCCCTTCTTTCTCCCATGATTGTTCTCTCCAAGGAGTGTATCTACCTGAGGTAAATGTTCAACTAATATGCCTGTCTTTTGTTTGGCTGGAAACCACAGGTGTGGGTTCAATTCTAGATTTGAAGGGCAGCTAGGGGCCATAGTCTCAGTGTTACACCAGGCTCTATCGGACCAGCAAACCTGGTCCCTGCCCCCTTTTTTTTTTCTCCAAATGATTTTGAGTTTTGTTCCACATAGTTTTCCCTCTCTATCAAGGATCTCCTACATAGATCCCCTTCCAAGTGGATGACAGTGGTAGTCAGACACCATCTACTTCTTCTGGTTTCATAGTCATGTAGGCTGCAGATCGGACGGTGTACCAGTCACTAGGACTAATTGTTTCCATGAATTTTGGTTTTCTTCATTCTTCTTTGCTCTGGACGAGGGGAGACCCATCGTTGCATCTAGATGGCAGCTTCCTAGCTTTTAAGATCCCAGTCGCTACTCACCAAAATAGGAGGTGGAACAATGTTTTGTATAGTATGTTATGCCAGTTGAGCTTGATGTCCCCTGCAACTATGGTCCAAAGCCCACAGGTACAACTACTCGGTCTCTCTGGGTAGCTGGCTGTGACCAAGCAGTGACCACAACCTTGCCCCTTGTCAGCTCTACTATACACCTGGAAATTCTGATCCTTCACATAAACTTATAGGACCATTGTCTGCCAACCCTATATATGTTCTTGGATACCCTCCCCATTTCATAGACATACCTATCGTTCAGCCTGTCCACCCATCTATCCACCCATATACCCATGTTTGCCTTCACTGACAACACAGTATTGTATGTGCAAAAGGGGTCATCCCTTGTAGTTTTCTAACCCCAAGTCTTTGCACATTTCGTTATAATACTTTGTCTTCTCAAACCACCCTTTAAAATTTTCTGTTAAGCTCTTTTATCTTGTCATTTCTTCCTTTTTCTTTAGTTAGGTATCCATTCAAGGATAAGCTTCAAAGTCTCTTCTGACATCCCTTTCGGGCTTTTCTTCATTTCCTGTCTTTTTATGACTTTTTTGCTTTCCTTCTGTATGATATTCTTGAAATCATCCTACAACTCTGCTGCTTTTTGGTAATTAGTGTTCAATATATCAAATCTCCTCTTCAGATTGCCTCTAAATTCAGGTAGAATCTAATCAAGTTCATATTTTGGCTCTGATGGACTTGTTTTAGTTGTTTTCATCTTCAAATTGAACTTGCATAAGAGCTATTGATGGTCTGTTCCAGAGTCAGCTCCTGGGCTTGTTTTGGCTGAAGATACTGAGCTTCTCCATAGCCTCTTTCCACTGACGAAGTCAATCTGATTTCTGTGTATTCCATCTGGTGAGATCCACATGTATAGCCATCATTTATGTTATTGAGAAAGATATTTGTAATGAATAAGTCATTGGTCTTGCAAAATTCTATCATGTGATCTCCAGTGTCATATCTATCACCAAGGCCATATTTTCCAATAACCTATGAATCTTCTTTGTTTACAATTTTCACATTCCTATCACCAGCAGTAATTAATATATCTTGATTGCATATTTGGTCAATTTCAGACTGCAGAAGTTGGGAAAAATCTTCAATTACTTCATCCTTGGCTTTAGTGGTTCATGTGTAAATTTGAATAATAGTAGTATTAACTGGTCTTCTTTGTAAAACCAAAACCAAACTCACTGCTGTCAAGTTACGTCCAACTCATAGCGACCCCTCCTTGGGTTTTCAAGATGATATCACTATGGAAGTAGACTGCCCGAACTTCTTTCCAAGGAGGGTCTTCCTTGTAGGCACATGGAGTGGATGGATATTATCCTATCATTGACAATGTTGTAAGATAGATCTTGAAACATTCTTTGTGCTGGTGAACGTGATGCCATTCTTCAACTTGTCATTCTCAGCATAGATTATATGGTTATCTGATTCAAAATGTCTAATGCCAGTATATTTAAACTCACTAATGCCTAGGATATTGATCTTTATGCATTCCATTTCATTTTTTACAACCTCTAATTTTCCTACATTCTTATTTCATACATTCCATGCTCTGATTATTAATGTATGTTTGCAGCTATTTCTTCCCATTTTGAGTCATCTCATCAGCAAATGAAGGTCCCAAAAACTTTACTCCATCCATGTCATTAAAGTCAACTCTACTTTGAGGAGGCAGCTCTTTCCCAGTTGTTGAGTGCCTTCCAACTTGAGAGGCTCACCATCTGGCACAACTTCAGGCAATGTTTCAGAACTTTTCATGAAGTTTTCCAAAAATATATCAGACAGTGTTTCACTGCTATCCACGAGGTATTCGCTGGCCAATTCTTAGAGAAGTGGAGTCCCCGCCTTTCTTCTGAATCTGTCTTAGTTTGGAAGCTCCGCTGAAACCTGTCCACCATAGGTGATCTTGCTGATATTTGAAATACTGGTGGCATAATCTCTAGTCTCACAGCAACATGTAAGCCATGGTAATACAATAAACTGACAAAAAAGTGGTAGTTATTTACTTTGGACATTAGTATGTTAAATATAGTTGTCTAAATTTCTAAGTTAGTGGATATAAGATAAGAAACAGAATATATAAATACCAAACTCACAGAGAAAAAATGAGTTGAGCAATAAAAGTTCGTTCAAAATATAAAAGCACATAAAAGAAAAAAGCAACAAATACAAACCTCAACAGAAAATTTAGACTTGATTGCAACTACATCAGTAATTACAGTGACTGAAAAGATACTGAAGTCTCCACTTTAAAATGTAACATTGTAGATTGAAGAACTAAACCAAACAATGATTACATGCTACTTCCAACATAACGGAAGTTTGAAGTGGGAGGAAAAAAACTAATAAAATATATTCCATGCAAAGGCTAACCAAAAGAAAGTTAATTCATCAAAAATAATAGATTTTAAAACAAAAAATCATTACTAAAAACCATGAAAGTCACTTCAAAATAATAAAATTACAATGATAATTTAAAATTCCTCCGGTGCCATAGGCATTTGACTGCTAACTAGAAGGCTGGCAGTTCAAACCCACCAGGCACTCCGCAGAAGGAAGATGGAGAAATCTACTTTCCATAGTGATACTGCCTAGGAAACCCAAGGAGGGGTCACTGTGAGTCAGATCCGACTCAACGGCAATGAGTTTGGTTGTTTAGGTTTTAGGCATCTAATAGTGTGGCCCCAAACTATATCAAACAAACAAACAAATGAAAAAAGGTAGAACTGAAGGGACTCTTAATAGTAGCATCAGGACAACCTAAATTCACCAGGGATAACAATCAGGATCATTACAAAACTGGTTCCTAAGAGGTGGAGGTCATATATACTATATACCTCCACTCTCCAACTTCTTCACATTTCTGACAACAGCCATTTACCCCACAGCACTCTCTACTTCTCTGTTGGGCTTCCATAACTACAAAGAAACTCACAGAGTGTGAAAATGGTATGGAAGTGGTGGCATCTAAACTCCTCTAACTTCAAGGGAGGAGGAGGATTGACATCAATAGACCAAGGTTGAGTCCTCTGAGGTAGAAATCAGACATGCCTCCACCCTCCTTTTTACCAATTTTACCATAATGTTACCAGTTCTCATGCCAACATCCATCCTCCAGCACTCTCTACTTCTCTACTGGGTTTCATAATTCATTGCAATGACCACACAGAGTTCACAGTGCTAACAGGAATGGGGTTTATTAGGAAAGTAATAGGTTATAACTCAGGGTCAGAAAGGACTCAGGATACAAATCTTCTATTAGAACAGCCTCTTCCCAGCTGAGCCACAGACGTGCCTCTCTCTGACCCTTGGCCTCTCAGCCCTATAGCCTTTGGCTTCTGCCCTACTGACACAAGTGTTACAAAGCTCTTTTAGCTCTCCTTATAAATGTCTGGAGGCACTTTACTCCACCAGCAAGCCTCTTGTTTGAAGACACTCAGCTTTCTCCTTCTGTAGGCCAGGAAGTCCACTGCTTTGTCTTTTGCCAGTGTCTTGATTCTGCTGCCTCTGCTGCCACAATTTCTCTGCCAATGCTTCTCATCTTCTCTCACTGTCTCTGGTGTCACAGTGCTCTGTCTCTTGGATCAAGGAGGGTTAATGCAGGTATCTCAGGTCCATGAGATGTGCTCCATTCCTGGCTCTTCTTTCTTGATAGTATGGAGATCCCCCCATTTTTTTCTTTTTTTATTTTACCTCTTGGATGGCTCACTTTTAAGCCTAACAGGATGATAAAACTGA